TAATAATATATCACTTTCCTCCTCTCATTGTTTTCAATCTAAAAACAACTCTTAATAATACCAGACTAGAATGGGGAAAAAGAAGTTTATTGACCTACAACTACAAGCAACCAATGTACAGCATAAATATGACCATTACTTACAGATCTCTAATCTGTAAGGAAACAGAATATCATTCCCTTTGCTAGAATTATTATGATAATAGAATTAAAACTAATGTCGGAAGTATATAAACTGTATTTACATATTTACACACATATATTCAATCATTCATCGGGCACATGAGTTATCACATTCATGTTAATTGTCTGGTCTGCTATGCAATGCATATCACATACAATACAATTGCTAAAAATACAGCTTTATCACAATATTTTACATTTATATTTAGTAAGTCTCGGGGGTAAACTTACATAGTAAAAGTTTACATTTTTCCTGATGCTTGGCACGAAAACAGAGCTTGTCGCTGCATCAGAACAACAATTAAAATGCTTCCTAAAAATAACAGTTCAGGCTCAGTACTAGAATTGCAAAAAATAACTGGGCACATCAAGATCAGGGAACAAGTAAACTCTCACACCGCAATGCGACTCATTTCAAAGTCCAACACGTGGCTATAACGAAGACTCATCCCCGCGGGAATCCATTGTGCATGACTTACTCGACAGAGGGAAAGGCCGCCCTTAGTTTGCTGGGTTGTGGTTCTCGTGGGCGGCGGCGACGTGCTTTCTGAGGTTGTCCTGGCGGCTGTAGGCACAGTCGCAGGCGTGGCACCGGAACCTCCTGTTGGCACCATGGGCTTGCAGGTGGCGCTTCAGGTGCCCGGAGGACGCGAACTTGACCCCGCAGAGCGCGCAGGTGGCCTCGAGCGCAGAGCTGAAGACGCGCGTGGACGAGCGCCCGGTGGAGGCGGGCATCGCCTGGTCGGGGTTCCTGCTGGTGCTCGTCACTTCCCTGGGCTCGCACTTCACGCCGCTCAGGCCCATCGTCGCGCCGCTCTGGGTCACGTGGTGCGGGAGGCTGGCCGGGTGGGGCGCGGGCAGGTGGGCGGGGTGGGCGGGGTGGCCCAGGGGAGGCAGGTGCGTGGTGTGCGCCGGCGAGGAGTGCGGCGACACGCTGGTCTGGCCGTGCATGGCGGAGTGCGAGGTCTGGCCGGAGTGCGTCGTGTGGACGGCGTGGGGCTCGGCCTCGTCCAGGTGGGAGGTGGAGGCCGGGTGGTAGATCGGGGAGCTGTAGGTGAAGGAGCCCCGCTGCGGGTGGCTGAAGGGCGGCAGCGGCCCCGACGAGCCGTGGGAGGGCAGGGTCGGCGACGGGGCATTGGCGGGGTTGGGGCTGTGAGGGGGAGGGCCCCAGCCGGGGTGCGCGAACGCGGGCGGGGGCGGCGCCGCGTAGTAGGTGACGTGCTGCCCGGAGTAGATCTGCTGCGGCGACTGCTGGCCGGAAGAGTACGGCTGCGGGGCGTAGTAGTTGGCGGTGTAGACTGCCGTCGGCGGCGCGGGGGAGGTAACCGTATGGCGCCCACTGACTGCTGCTGTAGCTGTACCACTGTGGGGGCGGGGGCTGGGCGGCGGGGTAGTTGTCGAGCTGCTGGATGTACGTGGAGACGAACTCGGGGCTGTTGCGGGCGGCGGGAGACAGCTTGATCTCGCGGTCCACGGGCGTCACGCGGCCGTTGTCGCCTGCAAAGAAGAACCCTTGTTAATGGTAAATTATTATAATTACTACATGTTTTCATTACAATAATTTACTTGTACTAATACAAGTCTAGTTATTGTTTTATCAATCCTATAACAACTCTCAGGACCAGCAGTTACAAAGACACTCCTATTTGCACTGAACTTACCACAGACATCCTGCGGCTGGTCGTTGGCGTCGCCGCAGAGGGCGAGGAAGGAGTCGTGCTGTGCGGGCGAAGTGTTCACGGCGACGGCGCCGTTGGTCGAGCTGGACACTTCCACGCGAGCTTCTGGCGAGAAAAACCGTGTTATTAATCTAATACAAGTACAATGCATTATAATATTTGTATCATGTATAAGATACCAGTATCTGTTGTATACATGCACGATATGTATATGTTTGCATGTATAAAATATGTACGTGGAGTATATGTATGTATAAAAGTCATATGCATTATATGTATGTATAAATATACTCATATAAGCATGTATAAAATGTGTATAAAAGTATAATATGTAGAATGCTTAAGAATGTACGCATAAAAATGTATAGTGTTGTATGATATCCATAATATAAGTGTGTATAAAATGTGTATAGTATATGTAGAATGCTTAAGAATGTACGCATAAAAATGTATAAAATATAGTATGTATAAAATGCATGTATGCATAATAATATGAATGCCCTACATACATATCATATCATATCATCATAACATGAAATGGGTGCTGTTATGATATATAACATGAAATATATTAGTAGATCATACATACATGCAAAGCATACCTATGTATTATATATACCTATCCATTCATTATACATG